GGGGGTCGCGGGGGTCAGGTGTGCGCGGCGGGCGTCCGCGGCCGGCGCCGGGCACACGCCGCCCAGGAAGTAAACAACGTCGGGCGTGATTGCACTTACTACGCGTCAGGCTGTCATCAGGAGGGGAAACTGAGGCACCGCGCGGCCGGCCAATGTGTCAGAGTCCTACAGCTGGCGAGTCTTGGGGTGATTCAAACCCGGGAGCGAGGCGGGCCAGGGCCAAGCCCCCCACCGCCCGGGCGGGACTCCTCGGAGGACGCGGACCGAGTGGTCAGCGAGGCTCGGCGTCCCGGGGGACACGGACGCGGGCCATCCGCGGGAAAATGAAGAGATTGGAGGCTCCGGGGCGCTCCCAAACCATCCGCCCATCCGCATCAGCCGGGGAGCCGGTCGGCAGGTCCAAGCCCCCGCGCAGAGCGAGGTGTCGCGGACTCGGCGGGCTCCGCCAGGTGGGGCGCGTACTCAGCCCCCTCGGGGCCTTCCGGGAGCCTGCGCTGTGAGGAAAACAAGTCCTCCTCAAAATAGGTTTAAACCCGTGAAGCCGACGGCGCCTTTTCCAGGCCCACAAGCCAAAAACACTTGGCTGACAAAAGGTCACGTGAGCGGAGGGACATCGGAGGTCCAGCCATCCACGCCCCTGGGCTTCGGAAACGCAGTGCGGACTGAGCGCCCCCGCCACGCCCCCGCCACGGCCACGCCCACCAACCATCAAACCACGCCCCCGCAGCGCCCCCGCCCATCGCAAGTGGCTCCGCCCCTCGACTACAAGTCCCATCCGCCCCGCGCTCGCGCACATTACGCCACGGGAAGATGGCCGACACGGCGGCCGGAGCCAGTGGCTCCGGAACGGTAAGGGTTGGAGGCACAGAACCAAAACTGAGGGAGTGTGGGCACGGACTGGGCAACAAGCTCATACCCACGAATCGAGGCCCACAGTGAGCTCCTAGAGCAGAATGGACCTTGTGGCCATACGCCTCCCCTCCCCATTCCCCAGGGACTTGGCAGCGGCCTCCTAAGTTGAGGTGCCCGAGACTTGATTGGCTCGTTTCCGGTGGGAGGTGGGAACCCGGAACACCTTCTGATTGGTTGGAACAGAACGTTTTTTCCCTCTCATTGGTCAGCTAGAGTCGGGAGGGATTCCCGTTTCAAAATATTTAGCTTCCCTGCATTTCCGTGCTGCTTACCTTTGCCTGTGTTTTCCTGGAATCATGTGGTGTAAACTGTTTAATTTTTCCTTTTTAATGAAATTATATTAAGATGGGAGGAAAGGGAGATCTTGTGCCCCCCCTTTGGAAAGTAAATATATTAGTTCAACTCCATGCATGTTGTGTATTCTGATAATCTGCTACCCTAGAAAGTGTGTGTGTGGTGGGGGGGGGGGACCGGGAAACCCCACCAAAATACTCTGCCATATATCCTGTTGGAACGCTTCTGTCTGCAGAAAGGTTGTCTATTTAGAGCATTCTGGGTGCTCAATTAATACTCAGCCAGGTTCTCAAAGTCAAAAACATTAAACAGTGATTATAAAGAGGATTTAGCTAAAGAGCTTTTGCTTGCCATTGATGGTGTGTGAACTACCTGATCACATCCTGTCCTGTGGTTGAAAGTCTTTCTCTCTTTATGGGCTGCTGATTCACAGAGATCAGGAAGTAAACAGTCCACCAACCCTGCAGATAACTACCATCTGGCACGGAGAAGAACCTTGCAAGTGGTTGTGAGCTCCTTGCTGACAGAGGCTGGGTTTGAGAGTGCAGAGAAAGCATCTGTGGAAACACTGACAGAGATGCTGCAGAGCTGTGAGTACCAAGACACACTAGGCCTTCTTTGAGTCACTGCCAGCATCAGTGCCCTGGGTTGTCATGCTGTTAGAGAGGACTGAAAGGGGGACTGGGGAAAGCATGGTGTAATTTCTTACAGGCCTTAGAATAAAGTAAGTCTGGGTGTAAATCATCACTCTGCTGTTTGATAGCTTCTGAATCTCACATTCCTCGTTTGTGAAATGGTATAATAATTTGTTCCTCATGAAGTTTTATTTTGTGTGTGTGCCCATACTGGGGCATGAAAGTTCCTCAAGCTCTTGCTTACCTTTCTCACTCAAGGCTGGCACTCTACCATTGAGCTACAGCTCCATTTCCAACTCTTTGGGGGTTAATTGGAGATAAGAATCTCTCAGACTTTCCTGCCTCTGCCAGCTTCAAATGGCAACCCTCAGATTTCAGCCTCTTAAATAGCTAGGATTACAGACAGGAATCACCTGATCCTAGCTCCCTAGCTAGCCTTGAACCATGGTCCTCCCAATCTCAGCTTCCCAAGTGGCTAGAATGTCAGTCCTGAGTCACCAAAGCCCAGGCTCCACCTCTTGACTGTTTGGACAGTACTACCGCCCACATGGGTGAATCTGCTTGAGTCCTTGCTTTCAGTTTATTTGTTTGTAGACCCTGAATGGAATTGCTGGCCATTGTGTGTTTTAAGTTTGAGAACTATGAGTAAGACCCTATGCCCTTGATCCCTCCACAGACATCTCAGAAATCGGGAGGAGCGCCAAGTCTTACTGCGAGCACACTGCCAGGACTCAACCCACACTGTCAGATATTGTGGTCACACTGGTTGAGATGGGTAAGTAGTTCACCTCAGGTTTCCACTTCTTCCATTTAGCCAAGAGAGGGAGGACTCTGTTTTCTTGTTTTTTCTTCCTCTTCTTCTCCTTCTCCTTTCTTTCTTTCTTTCTTCCTTCCTTCCTTCCTTCCTTCCTTCCTTCCTTCCTTTCTTTCTTTCTTTTCTTTCAGTCCTAGGGCTTGAACTTCTTTCTTCCTTCCTTCCTCTTTTTCTTTCTTTTTTTTTCTTCATCTTCTTCCAGTCCTGGGGCTTGAACTCAGAGCCTGGGCACTGTCCATGAGTTTCTTTTACTCAAGGCTTGCACTGTACCTCTTGAGCTACAGGGTTACTTTTAGCTTTTTTCTGTTTATGTGGGTACTGAGGAATTGAACCCAGGACTTCATGCATTCTAGGCAAGTACTCTACCACTAAGCCACATTCCCAACCCTGTTTGCTTGTTTCTTAGGCTTCAATGTGGACACTCTCCCTGCTTACGCAAAGCGGTCTCAGAGGATGGTCATCACTGCCCGTAAGTTCCACACGCGCCCCCTCCCCCCCTTAGCCTTTAAAAAGAATGTTAGCATCCATCCAACTTCTTGTTCTTCAGCATGCTCTTTTACATAGCAGCCCTGACTAGAAGCCACCTTCCTATCTACCTAATAGCCTAGATTATTGTATATGGGGGTATTAGTCAAAGTTACACAAGGTCACAGGCAGGGTTACTCAGCAGAGCTGGGAATTGTGGGGAAGTGATCATCTCAGATCCTCATGTCATTGAGCAAAGTATAAAGTACCTTCTATTTAGAAAATTGTGGTCCAGAGAGAAAAGGTTGTTCTAACCATCTATGATTCTGTTGCAGCTCCAGTAACCAATCAGCCAGTGACTCCCAAAGCCCTCACCGCAGGACAGAACCGGCCCCACCCGCCACACATCCCAAGCCATTTTCCTGAGTTTCCTGACCCCCATACCTACATTAAAACTCCGGTGAGTGATGGAGCCGCCCTGGGGACTCTGCCGGGTGTAAAGCAGTCTGTTACTCCTGAGCCTCAGACTTGTGTCCTGAAAATTCTTTTTTTTTTTTTTTTTGTCATGGATCTTGAACTTGGGGCCTGGGTGCTGTCCCTGAGTTCTTGTGCTTAAGGCTAGCACTCTACCCATTTGAGCCACAGCACTACTTCCAGTTTTCTGGTGGCTAATTGGAGATGAGCCTCACAGACTGGAAATGGTGCTATGGCTCAAGTGATAGAGTGCTAACCTTGAGCTGAAGAGCTGAGGGACAGCGCCCAGGCTCAGAGTTCAAGCCCCACAACTAAAAAAAAACCTCTCACAGACTTCCCTACCTGGGCTGGCTTTGAACCACAAACCTCAGATCCTCAGCTGCCTGAGTAGGTTTATAGGCATGAGCCACCAGCACCCAAGCTAATAATATAATATTTCACGTAGCTCCTTTTAAATCCATCTGGGCCTGGGGCCAATGGTTCATGCCTGTAATCCTAGCTACAAAGGAGCTGGAGCTCTGAAAATCATGGCTCACAGTCATCCCAGGCAGACATATTGAGACTTTTATATCTAGCTAACTAGCAAAATGCCAAACTGTGTGGCTCAAAGGGTAGATAGAGCACCAACTATGAGCAAAAAGGCTGAGTGAGAGTTGGAGTCCTAGTACAGGCACATAAACACTGCAGCACTTTCAAGGCCCTGTCTGTATACGTCAGTGGGTGAAACGCCTTAGCAACCATAAGGCAGAGCCCCAAGGGGATCGAAGCTGCTTTGGCTCACCTTAGTGTCTTCGCTGTCCTCTCTTTAGACCTACCGAGAGCCTGTGTCGGACTACCAGGTCCTACGGGAGAAGGCGGCATCTCAGAGGCGAGATGTGGAGCGGGCGCTCACCCGCTTCATGGCCAAGACGGGGGAGACCCAGAGCCTTTTCAGGGATGACGTCAGCACCTTCCCATGTAAGCCCCTCTCCCCCCAGGGGCCCTGTCTTGCCACCTGAGACCCTCACCATCTTCCCTTTCTCTCAGCTGGGTAGGGAGAGTTGGCTAAGCTTCTGTCTTTCTCCTGGATGCACTTAGGTTTCAGATTTCTGGCTCCTCTACCCAGGTCTTCTCCTGTCCTGGAGCCATGATCCTAAAACAGAAATCGCCTTGTGAGCTCGGCTGCTGCAGGGACTTTGAGTTTAGGTTTCCTGGAGAGTAGCTGAGCCTGCCACAGATCTGAGGGCTCAGGGTGAAAGGGACGCTGGGATCTGGGCCAGTTGCCCATCGCGATGCCCTTGCGCAGGTCATCTTTTATATAACTACATCGCAGCAGGATTTGGTGGTGCTAACCAAGTTGTTTGTTTCCATAAGAGGTCTCAGGTTCTTACCTCAGAGGGCACCAGGGAGATTGGTTTGGGGTTGGTTCATTTAGCAAACCTTATGAAATGTCTGTTGGGTGCCCAGTGCTGGAAAAATACTGGCCAAGAGTCACCAAGTGACAGATACTGGCGCCCTGTTTTCCTTATGTCATGGTATTCAGTCTTCCGGAGGGCCTGGGAGTTAGGGCCTGGCAGCAACCTTTGCAGGAAGCTGAGGCCCAAACAGGAGAGACATAAAGTAGCTAGCTAGAGGTCATGGGTTAATATGTAGCATTCACACCTCCTTTTGGCTGCCTGGCCACATTAAAAATAGTATTTTAAATATTTATTTGTTTAGAAATTGGGGTCTGAGCCTGGCACTGGTGGCTCACACTTGTGATCCTTGCTACTCAGGAGGCTGAGATCTGACAGGATCCTGGTTCAAAGCCAGCTGGGTAGAAAAGTTCATGAGACTCTCTTTACTCCAGTTAACCAATAAAAAGCCAGAAGTGGAAGTGTGCCTCATGGAAGTGTGATAGAGCATCATCAGTGAGTGAAAAAGCTAAGGGAGAGTTCAAGCCCCATAATCTGTAAAGGGAGAGGGAGAGGAGGAGGAGGGAGATTAGAGCATTACTATGTTCTGACTTGGCCTCAAACAACTTTGGGCCCAAGTGATCTGCCTCAGC